TCTTCTTCCCCTTTGCTCTCGTTCTTCCTTCTCTCCTTTCCTTCCCCTTTTTTCCTTAAAATTGTCTGGTTTCTGGGTTACCAGACCTGACAGACTTACAAACTGACACTGTGACTCAAGAGCTAAGGTCCCACGGACCGCTCTGACAACCAACGATGACTTGACTGATGACCATTCGCTTCGATATCGTTTCTCTCTGTGGGCTTTAGATCAATTTTAAACGGACGTCAATTTTGGTCGCCAAAACATCTTTTCGGACGAAGCCCATTTACATCTGGGAGGTCGTTAACAAGCAGAACTGTAAGATTTGGGGTTCTGAAAATCTACATGTCATAGAAAAACCAGTGAATCCAAAAAGAGTAACTGTTTGGTGTGGCTTTTGGAGTGGTGGGATTATTGGTCCCTACTTTTTTCAAGATGAAGATGGTAACAGCGTGACAGTAAACGGGGAACGATACAGAGACGTGTTGATGAGTTTTTTGTGGCCACTATTAGACGACATGCACTTGCATCTCTGGTTCCAGCAGGATGGCGCAACTTGCCACACCAGCCGTGAAGCAATCGATCTTTTACACACTAAGTTCGATCATCGCGTTATCAGCCATTTTGGAGACGTTCATTGGCCAGCCCGTAGCTGTGATTTGATGCCCATGGATTAATTTCTTATGGGGTACTGTTAAAGGCAATATCCGAACTATCGATGAAATAGACCCACAAATTATTGAAAATGTGCCTCAAAATTTGGTTAAGAGGATGGACCACTGGCAGGCCAGCCGCAGCAGCCATTTAACTGAAATTGTTTTTCATAAATAATTGGAAGGTGTATTCGTTTGAATAAAGTATCGAGTGTTACTACATATTATTGAAGAGTGCAGTTTTAATACCAATTTAAAAAGAAACCAACGTATGGCCTACCCTATATAAGTGAGTTGCATCTCTCTGGATTTGTAACAAACTATGCGGATGTTCTCGTCAGTGGAACTACACGCAATGAACTTATTGCAACCATGAATGAAGTCAAAGATCAAATGAAAATGTGGTGCCAAGCAAATCGTTTGATTTTGAACCTTGAAAAATCCGATATTGTACATTCTTATACAAACGCCCCAATTCTAGCAAATTATGAGACATCTAAACCTATGACGTTGTTGGGAATAGAAATCGATGCAAAGCTCAATTGGCAACAACACATGGACACTGTCTGTAAAAAGTTGAACCAATCATATTATGCGATTCTTAAGGTTAAGTTTTGCTTATCAGAATCAGTTCTCTCGTCCATGCACATTTATCAAGACGGATTATATTTTGGGGTCAATCAGCTCCAATTTCTAGAGCAGTTCAAGGGAAGAGAATAATCAGATTGATATTTAACATCCATAGAAGAGTGTCATGCAGAGAGATCTTCAGAAGTAAGAACATCGTTACTCTACCAAGCATTCATATTTATAAGTGCGCCCTTTTCACACACAAAAAAATTTAAATAGAACGAAAACATCAACACACATTATGATACAACGGCAGGTGAGAGTCTAAGTATTCCAAAACACACACTGACGCTGTTTGGAAAGCCACCACAATTCACCTGCATTAGAATATATAACAAACTGCCAGCTAATCTCGGGAGTGTCAGTAGCATCGCTAGTTTTTGTCAACGACGAAAATTATTAGATGAAAAATGTTTCTACTCTTTGTCTGAATACCTCGCACTGTGATAAGTTTTCAAAACTTTTTTATATGTGAATGTCTGTACGCCTTAAATTCTTCCTGTTTGTACTTTGTAAGTATTTATTGTTTTGTTTTACTTTCAACCTTCCCTTAGGACCAGTCTCATGTCATTTTAGTCTACAAGACAATAAACGTATCTATCTATTCTATCGATGGAATTTTCTGGTTCTCAATCTAGCACGGAGAGCTCAACTGATTGGTCACCTCTGACCCAACAGCATTGTCGGCAACGATTGGTATGGAGTAGGAAAAGACTTGAATGGACTATGGAATGGAAGTCAGTCGTGTTCAGCGATGAGTACAGATTCTGTTCGGACACATATGATGGACGTACGAGAGTAAGTAGGAGACTGTCATTCATGCAAATCAGTTTGAATACCAAGCTGGAAAATCGACTAATATGGCCTTACACAATCTGGTCGGTAGGCTGGAGAAGACTCTAGATCAGCGAGAAGTGGCACTCGTGGCCTTTTTGGACATTTAATTGCACTACGACCGACTCAGACATGCCTTGGTTAGACACGGGGTTGGATCAATCCTAATAGATGTTGTCCTATCTACTCTGGAGGGTCGGGTAGCAACAGCTATGTTGAATGACGTAAGCTGCAGCGTCAGCGTAGCTAGAGGCTGCCCTCAGGACGGAGTTCTGTCACCCCTACTGTGGTGCATCGTGGTGAACGAACTCCTCGTTAGGCTCAGCAGTGTGGGTATCTACGTGCAAGCCTATGCTGATAACTTGAGCATAGTAGTTAGGGGACGTTTTTGCAGAACAGTATCTGAAATTATGCAGAGCGCTCTGGGCTCTGAGGAATCGTGGTGCAGGGAAGTCGATCTTTCTGTTAATGCTGGAAAGACCTAGCTTATCCTATTCACTAGGAGAAGAAGGCTTGACGGACAGGTCGTGCCGACCTTCATTGGGACTAGATTGATTTTGTCCCAATCAGTGAAATATCTGGGAATTATCCTGGATTGCAAACTGAACTGGAGAGAGCATGATGAATACAAGATTAGCAAGACTCGCAATTCAATGTGGGCCTGAAGACGTGTTATCGGTGTAAGGTGGGGGCTTAAACCCAAAGTGGTATGCTGGCTCTACATGACAATAGTAAGTCCATCTCCTTTGTACTGCTCCCTGGTCTGGTGGCCCCGCATTAGAGCTGAGACAACTAAGGCCAAACTCAATAAAATTCAGCGATTGACCTGTATTAGCATTACAAGCGCACTGCGAACAACGCCATTGAGTGCAATGGAAGCTTTGTTGGATCTCCCACCGTTGGATCTGGTGATCCGCGGTGAAGTGAGAGTAGTAGCTCATCGACTGTGGAATCAGGGCAGCTGGGCCTTCTTGAATCCTGTCAAGGGGCATACTGCCGTCTTAGTCGAATTGCAAAGGGAGGACCCCGTCCTTCTATGCAGGGGTGATCGTACTACCCCTAAATTTAGCTTCAACTGCAAGTTTATTGTGGAGTATTCAATAAGGGAGGAGGGGGACGCCGGTAACCGATGACTCTCCGGAGTCAGCGGGCAACTCTGGTACACGGACGGCTCAGGTGTTGGGGTCTCAGGGCCTAGAACTAGGCTATCTCTGCCTCTCGGTGGATACACCACTATTTTCCGGGCGCAAATCTGTGCGATTCTGACTTGTGTATCTCGCATTCTGGAGGAGGGTGGGCCTAGGAGAACAATAACAACCTTGTCCGACAGCCAGGCTGCAATGAATGCACTAAGTGCCTGTAAGATTACTTCGAGTCTTGTATTGCAGTGCAGGGAGGCTCTGGATTGCCTCGCAGCGAGGCATTCGGTATCGTTAATGTGGGTACTGGGGCTCGCTGGGATAAGGAGCAATGAGACGGTGGACGCTCTGGCGGAGACAGGATCAGCCAGCACGCTCGTTGGTCCTGAGCCGGTTTTAGGAGTGACCGCGCATAGAGCTAGGAGGATAATGGAAACGTGGATTGCAAAACAACACTCTCAGAAATGGAGAAGTATCTCCAGACATCTCCGCCAGGCACGGGAACTCATTGAAGGGCATAGTGCTAAGTATGGACGTTTCTGCTTATCTCTGAATAGCTTCACTAAATGGACGAGGCTTGTGATCTAAGGAATGTAGAGGTGCATAAGGGCCCATTTAGAGCGGCCTATGCACTGGCTCCTTATGGTGGCCGGAATGCCTCTAATTTCACGACTCATTCATTCAAGGAGGAGACATGGTGAAAGACGGAACGACCAAGATTCCATCGAATTGCATATTCATCGCACTATGGGTGTTCTGGTATGGGGTGCCATTGCTTACGGCAGCAGGTCACGATTAGTGTTTATTCCAGGTAGCATGACTGTCCAGCGCTATATTCCCGAAGTTTCAACTCCACACCTGCTTAAATTTTTGGAAACACTGCAGGATTCATTTTTTTTCAGCAGGACAATGCAGGACCTCATTGCGGACTTGTTAGTTTACAATTTTTAGAAGCGTCCCGAGTGAATCTGCTTCAGTGGCCTCTTCGATCCCCAGACCTTTCCCCCAGAGTCTAGCATATGATGGGAAGAAGGTTGAAAAATCCTTTGCACCCTCCACAAACTTTGGAAGCTCTACGAAACCAAATTCAGATAGCTTGGGATACAATTCACCAAGAAGACATCAATCACGACTTAACGAATGTGTAGCGAACAGAAGAGCTTCAACACATTATTAACATTAAAGTGGGATATCTCAGCTAATTTGCGAAAGTTCGAGTTAAAATTTTAATCACCTTCTATTTATAACTAGACCTAAAACTGTATTGTATTTGAGGCCTTCTTAACTATGAAATTTCATTGTTGTTCGAATGACCTTCAAGGTCATGGACATACTTGATCATGAATTTTTGTGCTCTTTACATTTCTGGGGTTAAACATAGGGGCTTCCATTTAGGAAAACTGTATTGATCTTCAAATGACCCTGAAGGTTATAATCAAATTCAAGTTCAAGGTCACCGTTCGTTGACACCTTTTATACCTCACATCTTTGCTCTGCTATATTCTTTTTTATGAAACGTGTTTTCGAAATAGTTTGACCTTGCCGTACTCTTTGGGCACACTTTAAATGTCCACTAAATGACCATTTGTACTAAGTTATACAATATTTTTCTAGGAAACGTATTTTTAGACATACTATATTTTGATGTATTAATACTTATAAAATACAATGCGGAAAATCGGGCAATCAGCCTTAATTTAATTAGTTAATTAGATATTACCATCCGTAGTAAGCTCTAGGGGTGTGTCTTGGACGTCCTTACCATTATGCTGAATTTTCAAAGTATCCCACATGTGAACATTATTATCATCTGATCCACATAGAAGTATCCTTCCGCTCAAGGACAAGCCACATGATGTGAATCCACTATTAGCACTTGGAGGCTTATACAGGGCAATTTGCTGATCGCTTCTGATGTCAAACAGTCTAGCGGACTTATCTTCTGAGCCAGTGGCGAAACCATAGCCACTTGGATGAAACTGGAAGATAATAGCCTCAAGTAGATTGATTCTGCACTATCTTACAACGTTGTCATCAGATCATTAATGATTATGTTTAGCACAAGTTGACCCCTCTACGCTTCGAACATGAATAACAAAAAATTAACTGGATCGAGTTAGTAAAATAGGCTCATACAATTAGTATTTGCATATTTAGCATGCTTTTCTGTAGAATTGTGGCTCTTTAGGATTTGTCCTACTGATAAAGTATGGTACCCCTCACTCATAAATAAGTTTTGGAGACTGGTTTCACACAAAGTTATTTCTTGCCGATGAAAGGCCCTTCAGACTGAGAAAAATTCCTGCCCCGAAACAAAGTTAGCGTGGCTTTTGGACTACTCGAATGGGTCATTTCAAAAACAGTTCCAGTGACCTTGATTTGTTTTATTTACATGTTTGTGTACTACATGCACCAAAACATCAATTTTAAATTCGCGAGATACAAAATTTACTTACGGGTCTCTTCAACTTTGCCCCAAATTACTTATTGTAGAGATTTCTTGTTTCCTACCAAAAATACTGACTCAATCCTTCTCATTTGCAAGACTGAGAAAGTACTTTGAATACACTCTAAATATGTTGAATAGCTGTTCATATAGATAGCGTGAAGATGGAATTACATCTCTCTCAATGTCTATTTTTTTGTTGAATAAATACATTTTGATTGCCGATTATCGAAGAACGTTGAACGAATAGGTCGCTGAACTTTATCAGGATGGTCATTTATAGTTTGAATATAAAACGGAACATTTTTCCAGGAGCTTTGCTTTGTCTAGGTTTCCCACATGTACCTTAAAAGTATTACAACATGCAAAGTTGAAACATGTGCCATGTATGTCAATACTCTAGCATCAACAATATGATTAATACGATTCTTTTGCTCAAGTTATGTACTATTAGCCATATTGCCTGTTAGTTTTTCGTTCTTTTTTATTATTATCACTATGCTGTGGAGGTTATTCGGAATTTCAACCTTGTGGAGCTCAAATTCTACATTAATCCCAAAAAAGTACCTTAAAACTGGTTTATTTGTCAGTGAAGCTTCTGTAATGACCGATTCAATTACCTTTTTGATTATAGAAGGTTAAATAGGAACAGAAATTAGTATACAATTTGACAGATACTTACGCATACTGAATTAACATCAGCCTGATGCCCAAAAAATGTCTGCTTAGGTTTCTCGTCTCTCATATCCCACAACCTGCATGTTTTATCTACACTACCTGTAACGTAACTATTCATATCAGGTCCTAAACTTATAGAAACTACATCGCCATTGTGACCTTGGAAGTCCGAAGTCTTTATGCCCCTCTCCAAGTCCCATTTACAACTACAAAATACAAAAAGATATAGTAACATTGGTATGAATAATCATCTTGGAGATTCACTACAGAATTGATATTTTTTTTTCTTTGGCTTTAGGACTAAGCCATGCAGCCAGAAACTAGGTGATATATATATATATATATATATTTTCTAATTATGGACAAACACACGACGTCACAACATCCATGGCGAAGGCGAGATTCGAACTCGCGGCCCGGCCGGCCGGGTGATCAGTAGCACGACACTCTGACCCACGCGGCTAACCGAGGTCCCAGAATTGATATTAAAGAAACGCCAAGTAGTTTGAGTCTGCACTTTCCACGCAACGCGTCAGCTTATGGAGGTCTATGTTCGGCACAGGTCAGCGCCTCTGAGAAAAAAAATAAACTCGTATATACATGTATAACAAAAGAATTAAATGAATCGTATCGGTCTAATGGGTCTTTACAATTCGTCCATAGTCTCCACCCATTTGACAACGTTGCGGTCCACCTTACCGATACTTCCGACTATCTGGAACAGTTGCCACGACCAGTCTTGCCACCCCCTAATCCCCATCGGTCGCATATTGGCGCTTAAGTGAAAATGTGAAAATCTGTGTTGCGTGAAATATATCTCATAGGTGCATAGAATTACCAAACCCCAAACAACTAAAGTATCGACTCTACTCCCTACAAGCTCCCACTGACAATTTTTAACCCTTTTGAAAATTTTTACTAAATTGATCAAACAAGTTTGAGCGGTTTTTATTTTTTCGATAGTAGCACTACCACCACTGGACCGCGTTTTCAAAGGGTCTTGATGCACAATGGGGTACTCGGCCTTTTCACTTTTTAAAAACGCACCCAGGCTGGGAATATAAAGGCGTGCTCTTCCGTATTTGTTAATCTACTTAGGTGCTTCCGCTACCGTTTTATCGAATTACCAAGATTTTTCATTTTTCAAATATTTTGGCATTAGTAGCTTTACTTGCGCTAAATCAAATGTTTTCCAAGCGCGCATGAAATACATTTTATTGTAATAATGTTGGCAGGAAATTCAACTTTTTAGGCTTTAAAATGTTTAAAATTTCTTTAACAAAACCATTTTTGGGGGCGGTACGGGGTCAAAAAATTCATTCAAATCCATTTTCTTATCTTTTTTAGAAAAAAAATTTAGTACTTTTATTTCTGAATAAAAGAGGTTTCAATTAACTTTTGCATTAAAGAGATTCAAGATGAGCAGGTGAAAACAATTTTTTTACAAAAGAGGCAAATTTTCAAAACATCCGTTTTCGGATTCATCATAAATCTTTCCAATCGAAAAGTTATTTGAATCCTCGATTTTTTAGGATAATAAAATAGGTAATTGAAAGTTTTCTTTAACTTTTCTCATGACGTGGGTCAATACGTTTTGTTAAAAAACTTTAAAAGCTTAAAAAAATGAATTTCCCGCAAAAAAAAAACAGTATTTCATGTGCACTTCGAAGATCTTTAATTTGGTGCAAGAGAAACAAAAAATCTTCTAATGCTCTTCTATTTGAAAAACTAAAAATCTTCGTTGTCCAATAAAACAGCTTCTGAAGTACCTGCTAAATCAAAAAAGGGAAAGAGCACATTTTTATCCTCAATAAGCCTAGCTGGGTGAGATTTCAAAGTCAAAATAAGTCTTAGGTGGCATAGGTGGCTGTGAAAAATAAAAGCCATGACATTTTTTTTTATTAATCACAGCTGTCAGAATACGTTTAAAATAGTTTTGGGTAGTTAAGGTTTCCAAATGGGTAGAGGAAAGGTTATTAGTGAGAAAATTCGGGTACTGATAATTAAATTTTTTAATTCTGGGAAATCAAACTCAGAAATTGCAACTTTGTTAGACTTATCGCGGTACAGTGTGAGAAATATTGTTAGAAGATATAACGTAATTGGTTCAGTTAATATGTGAAAAAAAGTAATATCACCAATGCCGACCGAAGAGCATTAAGATGAATAATCGTGAAAAACAGGCGTGCCAATTATTTACAATTGTTTAATAGATTGATCTGATCTGAACCGCATGAAGTATTGAGCAATTTGACAGGAGCAACAGCTCTCGAGAGATGTCAGCAGCATTTCAAGCAAAATGTTATCTGAACTTTTTTCAAACTGAAGCTGTGCTTACATTTTCATATCACCTGATCCGGTTATAACAGTTGTATCATCTATGAACCTGCAAGAGCTCAAAAATCCGTCATATCCAGCAAGCTCTCTCACCATTTTTGCCACTCCATTTGCATCTCTGTTATTTAGATCGTATACGGTGCACATGTTGTCCATTCCTCCACAAGCTATAAAAAAAAGAAAAATCGATTAGCATGTTCAAAGTAGTACAAAATAAGGTAGAACAACATGAATTTGTGGTAGTAAGACAGGCTACAAGAGGCTGAAAGGTAAGCGTTCTGGACACCTGGATTTTGAAGATTTGATTTCAGAACAAAAAAAGAAGGTTAAATGATGACGGGAGCGTCCATAGGTTTCCGAAAATGTTTAAAATAATTACTTTGAAATACTTCGTCACATAGTGATATTGTATATGCCTCACGAATATCTAGAATTGGTGGTTGGTTTGATAACACGACTCCACAAAAAAAGGGTCGGCATCACTGAGATATACTATGATATTTCTATGTATTTTAGACATTGAATCTGAATCCGAGATCAAAAAATTCCTCGATTTTACTGTTAGCCCTATTGGCGATTTGGTACTATGGAGCAGCTCAGGCCAGAAAGAAGACATTTATATGTATAGTAATGGATCTATCGAATATATTCGACTCCTTATAAAATATCTCTCAAACTACCGAACAATCATACGATTTGTGTTGAGACCTTTTTTATGAGTTAACTGTAAATGTGTGAAATAACATGCACTGAAAATAGGTCGCAAGTAACAAAACATATTTCCTGCAAATTAATATTAGTTTCACTCTAGCTACTTTTCATTTTTTGGTACGCATCCACATTCTAGCGAAAAATTAATAATGTGCCTGAGAGCTTGCAGAAAAAAAGGTAGAACGCACGAGAGTCACAAACGAAGAATGATTGCTCTGTTTTTTTTGTTTTAATGCATGTACGTATATGCTATTAAATAACCATTATATAAGTGCGTTTTTTTATTATCTGGGCTATAATCAAGAATCCGCAGCTATCGGGTACCAGCTAACCCTAATCACAATCCGGAAACTTATCATCAGCTTGGTCACCTAGCACAACTGATACTGTGCTATACATGTACAGAGGTCCTGGGTTCGAAACACGCTACAGACAACCTTTTTTCTATATGATTTCTTTATGATCAATATTTGAAATACGAGCCAAAAATTACGTCACAGATCATGCGGTACATTTTTATTTTATCGCATTCGTACAAGCTGTTTATGTAACACATTCACGAAGCTTATTATCAGCACATTCGCCAGCTTATGGATAACGTGTTTACCTACCGATATAGGGTTCGCAACCCGCTACAGGCAACTTTCCCAAAATCACCTCTGTATAGCTACTGACTTACCAACAAAATTTCCTGAAGGTGCAAACGCCACACTCATAACCCATGCAGACCTCAAGGGTATGATCTGCATTTTGTTGCCTGTGTAAGTATCCCAGATGATAAGCTTTCCGTCTAGAGAACCCGTCACACAGTGTCGGTTATCGCCGCTGTAGTGAACTGAATTCACTTTGTTCAAATGCCCTTTCATGAGTTTTCTAGTGATCAGTTTGACTTTTGGAGCCGGAGCTACGCTTTCACAATCTTTGTCTAGGGTGGTATCTTCTTGCTTCTTTTGTGCCTCCTAGAAGTATAACGAAGTCCTTCGATCAAAATATCGTACTTATACTTGAAAAGAAAGTTCATGGACACTTCTCCATTTGATTCAAAAGAGATTATCATTATTATCATTATATCCATCTATAAAAATGTATTTTAACGCAAAGGATAAACCTTTAAGTAATAATCAAGTTTGAACAGTATATCATCTTCAAAATCAAAAGCCAAATATTGCCGTAAGAAAAATTGTTTTAGAGAGTTGCATTTTCGATCCTCTAAGAATTTTTGTCTCTGCCTTTTAGATTTTGAATTACGTACATGCGAAGCTTTGCCTCAAATCAACTAACTTGGCATCTTTTATGATTACCGAAATTCTACAGTCTTTTTTCTGAATTTACAGATGAGCTGCATATATTCAATGACAAGGAAGTAAGGGCTTTGGTAGGTCTCCTCAGATGACAACGTAAACTGGCATTTACAAAATATTTTGTGAGGGGCGTGATGAACCCTAGCCTATTTCATATGTAAATATGATGGCCTGGAATAATGTATTTAAAATCACCATTCTAAATGCAGACATATGCAAAGCCATGCGTCAAGGATATGTATACCGTGTGTCTCAAATTTGACCCTCGCCAGTGAGATCGCGGAAACGGCAAGCGATATGAAGACAAGTATATTAGAGCAAAGTTACGTATTTAGGTACCAGTTAAGAAAATGGTATACAGGGTGTCCCGAAAAAAGTGTGCCATATCTTACCAGCGGTTTCTAGTGCTTAAAATTGGAAGAAAACTTTATATAAAGATAGGTCGACAAACGTCCCCTAAGGTCGTTACGGTCTTTCAAAGGGGCTCCCCTGAAGATGGTTTTTCCTTAATATTTCCGAAAAGCGTCGAGATAAAGACATAAAATTTGGTATTCTAGCCTAGTCTTTTATGCTGGATTTGAAAATATTAACAATTTGTTTGGAAGCGTATGTAACAGGGACGTACTCAGGTTATTTTAGCCACAAACTTTTTGTGTGATTCTATTTTTGAAATTCAATTTTAGAATTTGAAAATTTAGGGTTTTCTACATAAAAAAGGTACTCATATTGAATATCGATAAATTGTACCATTTTTGAATAAAATCAAACTAAAAAATTTGTCACATGATAGGAAATGTACTGCGAATTTAAATGAATTGTTGATTATACATAGTTAGCCATGTCTGCAAACAAAAGTTGATTTGTTATGACTTATTTTGACATTAAGCTGACATTGTTAGCAGTGTAAAATTACTAGATTAAAATCATAATGTTTATTAAATCGATTTAAAATGCCAAGAATTACAGACAGAGAACTAACTGACATGCATTTTGTGTACGGTTTTTGCAATGGCAGTTCTTTGAGAATATCAAAGATTTCCCAATCGCATAGTATCTGGACGTCGAATGTTTACTGATATTCACCGGAATTTGTCAAACCATGGAAGTTTTCAGCACATGCAGGGCTCAGGAAGGCCACTGGGAAATCATCGTAAGGATATAGCTTTAAATATGTTTGAAAATAATCCGCAAATAAGCATACGAAATGTTTCAGAAATTATGGATATACGTCGATCAATAGTAAGAAAAATTTATGAATACCTATTTAATAGTTATCCTGAAAATAATAATTTTAGATAGGAAGAATGACAAGAATGCAAGGATTACATCCTTATCATTTTAAACGGGTGCAGCATGTAACGGAGGCAGATTTTTTACCACGAATCGAGTTTTGCCAGTAGATATTAGCAAATGAAAACACTGTTCCTAGAATATTATGGTCGGATGAGTCAATATTTACTAGGAATGGTGCTTTTAATTTCCATAACATGCATCACTGATCAGATGAAAATAAAAAGTTCTTCGCCGTACAAATTTCCAACATAGATTTTCATTGAACTTATGGGCAGGAGTAATTGAGGATCAAGTAATTGGGCCTATTGTACTTTCCAATCGTCTTAATTCAAAGGTGTATCTGAACTTTCTTCAGAATGAGCTCATGGATATAATACCATTGGATGTGTGCCAGCAGTTTCAAGAAAATATGTTTTTTAAACATGATGGCGCCCCTGCACATTTTGGACGCAATGTTCGAAATTGGTTGAATGTCAATTTTCCAGACAGGTAGCTAGGAGGAGGTCCTATAGCGTGGCCGCCACGTTCACCTGTCCTAAATCCATTGGGTTTCTATGTTTGGGGGTCATTAAAAGACCTAGTTTACTCGACTGAAGTAAATAGTCTTACTTCAAAGATTCCATCAGGCTGCAAATGAAATAAGACGAAAAAGGTTTTCTACTTTTCGGGCTACGCAATCATTAGTTTGTCGAGCGAGACTCTGAATCCAATGGGAATTTATTTGAACACTTATTGTAAAGCTAGTTTTAAGTATATCCAAGTGTATGTCTTCTTTTTTTAACAAATTTCAATTTCGTTCGTAGAAAAAATTTATTTCATTTGTTTTTGCTTAAATGTTAGCTATGTTGCAATAGAAATATGTATTTATGTAATATTTACCAATTATTAAATTAGTTTTTTCGTTGCCATGGCTAATTATTCAACAATTCATTTAGTAAATTCGCAGTACATTTCCTGTCATGTATCAAATTTTTTATTTTGATTTTATTCAAAAATGGCACAATTTATCAATATTCAATAAGAGTACCTTTTTTATGTGGAAAACATTAAATTTTCAAATTCTAAAATTGAATTTCCAAAAATAGAATCACACAAAAATTTTGGGGCTAAAATAACCTGAGTCCGTCCCTGTTACATACGCTTCCAAATAAAACTCTCTAAAATTGCTAATTCTTTTAAATCCAGCATAAAAAACTAGGCTAGAATACCAAATTTTATGTCTTTATCTCAACACGTTTCGGAAATATTAAGGAAAAACCATCTTCAGGGGAGCCCCTTTAAAAGACCGTAGCGCCCTTAGGGGACGTTTGTCTGCCTATGTTTATATAAGCTTTTCTTCCTATTTTAAGCTCTAGAAACCGCTGGTAGAATATTGCACACTTTTTTCGGGACACCCTGTATATAAAGTTACGCTATTCTGAGTATTACCGGAGATAAACGAGAAAATCTGAATTTTCCAAAGTCAAAATAAAAATTTGACCCTTTTTTATCCTCTATGTCATAACTATAATTCCAACATGACGTTTCGTCTTTTGTCCTCAATTATCAATTTTATTTTTTCCTATAGACGCCATATTGGATCTTTGCACAGGTGAATAGAATTTTAAATTCGGATTTAAAATATAATAATGATTATTATTATAGTTTTTTTTTACTTATCATGTCATTACAGGAGGCGTCATTTAGATTCATCCATTCTACCACCTAACCAACTTAACAAAATGTTTAATATATCATACAACCTAAGTTATTTCAAAAAGCTAATATTTTCCCAGTTGGATTTTAAAATGACAGTTTATGACATCTTTTTCTAATTAAATCACCAATGCTTCATTTTCTGACCTGCAAATAATTTGCACATATATTGGTTATAACAAGCGTAATTTTAGTAAGACGACACCTGAGAGCTGCAACATCATCAAGGCCTGTACTTACCTACTCAGAAATGAGTTAACATTGTTTTAGCATTAGATTTTTCTTTGTTCGATGAGTCAAGGACAACTATAGGAAGATTACGTTTTTAGATATTTGAAATTTCATAATACCATGCCATGGTATGTACATATAACAATATCACGTCATCAAAATTGGAGATAAGAACTGTTCACTTATGCGTAGTCCACTAAAAATGAATAAAAGCTTGGCTGATGATATTGTAAAACAGATGTCTATCTGATAATGTCCAGGCCTACTTAGTAAATTCGGTTCTTTTGAAATAATTAAGGTTTGACAATTTCAATGTTTGTAATGTGTTATATATTTTTGGAATTAAAGTTTGAAACTCTATTCACCTGTACAAAAATCCAATATGGCGATATGAGAAAAGGTTGATAATTAAGGACAACAGACAAAACTTCATCTTAAAGTTCTAATTATGCCACATTATACAGGGGAATAAGTGACAATGCCAGGAATAAGTAAAAATAATTTTGAGAAAATTCTCCTTCTGGCGTCTTAGGAAATAATCTGAATTGCAATTTTTACTCTATTTAACGGACTCCGTATAACGTACCACCAATGATGAGTGCCGAATTCGAAGCTTGTGCTTTTGCATACTACTTCAATCTAAGCTAAACTTCTACTGAAAAACAAACCTGTAATTTTTTATAAAGCTCTTCGATCTCCTTCCTAAGAGCCACGAGTTCGGGATCAGTTTTCGGCCCCATCTTGGCTCACTTTACCCTAAAAGAATTTAACAGCACTATGTCACACACAGCACTGACCACTCTAGCAGCCCGCTAATCTATTTAGCTTAATCTAATAAGGAATGATTTTACTAGTGTATAGGAAGCCTTATAAAATGATGGCTAAACCAATTTTTACTAATAGCTCTATAGATGACAAGAAAGCTCGCAAGGGCAGTTACATATGAATATCACAAGATAACCATCACTTATCGTGAACTATTCTTCAGATCCATTAGATTCTCAGAAATAATTTCTCATAGTATTCTGGAACTGAAAGTGCAAAAACGGGCTATCTATCCTATTACCCGAAAGACCCATAAGTATACCAAGAGTTGATTGCTTATACGAGTACTGTTAAAGATAATTATTATCTAAATAGTTTAAGCGTGCCTTGTGTTCAAGTGTACTTTGATTCCTTTGCAGTATCACTAATTTACGTCTGTCGCTTAACCAAGAGTTAAACTCAGTCAGTGAGGTACAGGAATAATTATTTTGTGTAGTGATTTATATAGGAATTAATAAGGATTTGTGAGGATTTATGGTGATTATGAGGATTTATGGTGATTATGAGGATTTATGGTGATTTATAAAAATCAATTGAAAAATCGGATTAGCAAGGTATCCACATGCTCCTTATAGCAGCCGCGATGCCCAGGTATTTGGGCTTCTGCCAACGCAGCTGTTTCGATGTATAAAAAGTGGCGTCAAGTAGGTTGACTTTGCACTTCCTGCGCCAAGCTATTATCCGTTCATGAAGGATTATGTTCTGCACAAGTCGGCCCCTCTGAGAAAAAAGCTAGCTACGAACAAAAGAATTTAATGGTTCAACTTAGTCAAACCGGCTCATACAATTTAAATTTGCAACTTAGCATGCAGTTCTGTACAATTTTGGGTAAGTATGCTACCCCTACCTAGTTTTGGAGACAGACCCCCTTCCTCGAAGAAAAATTCCTGCGGGTGCATATGATCGAAGCTATGTGTACAGCTGGCTTGGATGATGATCGACGATCCACATCCAGTTGAGGCCGACTGTCACACACATGAATCGGCAGGACCGCGAAGCTCGTATCATCGACACACAACTATAGAAAATATGTTTACATCATGTTAAAATTCAAGTGCAAATGTGCAGGGTAATGATGAACGCAACACCAACATCAAAAGATTGGGATTAACTCTCCCCACCCCTACAACTCCTCACCCACTAAACTTTTACCACTGAAAATATTGCGAAAATAATTAGGGTCCTCGGAAATGTCAAAAAACGAAGTATGAGCGAATTATATTTATGTAATTTTCTTACCCTTGATCGATTTTCAAAAACTGTAAAGCTTTTTCGGCATTGGCACAGAATTAACCTCCATCAAAATCCGACCGGTACTTTCCAAATTATAGCGGGGCCAATGATCATCGGACAGACAATGTAAATTTCATAAAACATCAAAAAAACATAACTCATTTTACAAAATTTTGCGCGGTAACCACACTTCCTCGCCAGTTGGCGTAGGAACTAGAAAAGTGATGATGTCACTCCGGAACTTATCGATGCTTTCTCACCTGTCACTGAATATGGCAATCCTTTTATTACCGTATGCTTGTTTTTTATTTATTCTTGCGCAATGCAAGCTGAAATTCGCTTATACCTGAAGTCCAGGGTTACACCTGTTTCCATATATACCTGCACATGTTCCCTGCTCGTTCTACTAAGGTTTTTTTTTCTCTCAAACGTCATTCCATATGGATTCAGCTCCAGAAGGAGCGAATGTATAAAAAGCTACCGCAACTAACTCTGTTCTGCTACTACTACCTTACAACGTGTCTTCATGCTCTACTTTCTTTGCAAGCGAAGAAAGCCAAAAACAAAATCGAATTTTATCGTGAAAGCAGACTGAAGCTTTTTTGCATCACGTCTGCTATAACGATCTTAGCAAATCAAAATTTCTCGGCAGAGTAACATAACAGTACAGAGAGTTTTTGTCAGAGTACAGAGCAGGATTTACTGAAAGTATCTAATCCAATTTTAAGAGATTAACAGAAATGGCGAGTCAAATGAGAAGGATACGTTGATTTTTTTTACACGGAACCAGCCTAAATGCTAAGACATCGCGGCTGCTTTGAGGATCCCAAAGAAACTGTGTTAATCCGATTTTTGAACTACCTAAGGACAGTAGAACTGGAAAAAGCCTCCTTTAGTAGATTATTCCACAATCGGCGAGTTCTAGATGTAAGAAGTTCGATACGGTTAGGATGGGAGGCCGAACTCAGACGGGTCTCTGTGGCAGGTACATCGCGCGGCGGCACCATGGAGTGGAGCTCTGAGTAGCAAAGCCCGTTGGTGTAGCGGCAGAAGAGAGTTAGATCGCCAACGGCACGCCGGTGTGAAAGGGTCTTGAGACTGTCTATTAGAGAAGGGTCATTGATCAATCGGACAGCCCTCCTTTGGACAGCATCGAGCATGGATAACGTAGTCGGGGCGGCAGCACTCCAAACGTGTGAGCATTACTCGAGGCTAGCACCGGCGGGCCGTTGGCGATCTGGCTCTCTTCTAGCGCTACCCTAACGAGCTTTGCTCCTCAGAGCTCTGCTCCATGATGGTGCCGCGCGATGTGCCTGCCAGCTAGAGCCGCCTGACATCGGCTTCCTATCCAAACCGTGTCGAACCTCGAACGTCCAGAAGAAAGAAGGCTTTTCCAGTTCTACTGGCTTTAGGCAGTTCAAAAATAGGATTAACCAAATTTCTTTGAGATCCTCATAGCAGCCGCGGTATCCTGGCATTCAGACTTCTGCCTGCGCGGCTGCTTCGGTGTAAAAAAAACCTGAACGGGAAGCAGTTGTATACTGAATACAACAACTACAATATATAACAACTACAGTATACAGCGTATTTAATGCAGAAGTATTAAAGGGTGAGCTATAGTAGACATGTTCTTGTAATAGTAACGAATAGGACTATGTGGGAGGAAAAAGATATTTTCATGTAGAGGTACATACATGGAAACTGTTACAACATCAGCTTGTTCTGTATTACAACTTGGCAGAGAATCTTTACGACAGCAGCAAAAATCTGCACATGCTAGTTCAGTTTTTTGCAAGTCTCTAGTTTATGATACTTTTGAAACAGTATACGTCATCGATTTTTCCTCAAGATGAGATAGAAACAAAATCTTTAAATGTATGAGGATGTAATACAATTTTTGCTTTAGTCACGCCTACTGGCGGGAAAACATTGTAACCGCGAAAATTTTCGGAAATGATTATGTTTTTTTAATGTTATATGACGTGTGCATCACGAAAAACCATGTCACTCATTTCAATCTGTCTGTCTGTCTGTCTGCTAATCCTATAACAGCTTATAATTTGAGAAGTAGCGCTCGGAATTTGATGAAATTTTTACACAGCGGCGGAGAAAAAGGCCAAAAAACGGAATAAGAAAATAAAAATCAAACCTTGTTTTTTCGTGTTTCAGCGGATCCCGATCGTTTTGGAAACAATTTTTAGATTTAACAATAAGGGTTTGGTTGTAGGAAGAGGATATATCTCAATTTTTTGATATTAGTATACCTATATACGGTTAACCTTGGTGATTATACGTAGCTATTAGAAATATTTTACATAGGTTTCCCTATACGTTTGCCCTTAAAACTTCGAGAAATGTTTTAAATACACGCATTCCACGTAACGTGTCTAACAAGGCTACATCTGCTTCGAGGTCTGATTGATGCCTAAATCGGATTTTTTTGCGATGGAATTGGGTGGCTGGGAGTGGCGAGTGATGAAGTTAGTCATAGCAACGTTGACAGATGGTCGATACTGCCGTTAGGGTAGGAAAGAAATTTCTAGGTAGCAACGTGCCAAATGGATGAATATTATAGATTACTACTTACTACTTATGTTTGACTGACTTGTTTCGTTTAATTCTTTTGGTATGCATTCTCGTAGCTAACTTTTCTCTCAGTGGAACTAACCTTTATGCTTTATGAACTGATGACAGCGTTGCGTCTGCCCTTCATACACAATCCATTTATGTTACTTTTTTGTTGTATGACAATAAACACATCTTGAGGTGAGGTGCTCACTTTTAAGGAAAAGTTATAATGCAAATATAAGAGCATGCTCCGTTTTTGGACATCTAGACCACCATTTTTAGAAAAGTCGCAAGCAATAAACTTTTGCATTTAAGTGCATTTGAATTATCGAATTTTTATTTGATATAGCAAAAACGTTTTTCGCTAAAGAGCATCTGGTTTTGCCGGTGGCCGATATGTAACTGACTGGTTTGTATCTTGGATATTTGTGAAATTTGTAAAACACGTCCATTTTTTTTATCTTAATCTTCTATTGCAACTTAAAAATTATGTATGAAAAATAATATCAGACAAATGTCCACCTCTAGCAGCCGCGCAAACCTGAGCGCTCTTGATTACATTTTCTATCACCGTTTGGTAGGTTATTATTCTTCAGCAGCACTACAGTATCTGGTTCGTTGGCATAATTTCTAGTTTTCAAAAAACCTCATAAAAAAGTCAGGAGCCATTAAATCCAGTGACCTTGGTGGTCTGTTGACATCACCAAATCGAGAAATTGAACTTCCCGGGTATATTGTTCGCAAAAGATTCATCGTTTCCCTAGTTGTGTGATATGCTGCTCCATCCTGCTGGAACTACATGTTTTGCAGGTTAAACTGTTGGATTTGAGGAGCCAGAAATGTTTGCACCATATCACGGTAGCGCTAGTCAGTGGCAGTATGAAAATTACCTTCAGCATCTTCAAAGAAGTATGGTTCAATGACACCTCAGGTTCTCGTGACACTAGGGTTTTCTATTGCCCAGATACGACAATTAACAAATTAACAAATCCGTTTCCATTCATATCAAAGTGAGCCTCATCCCTCATTATCAGCTGTCGGTAAAAATCGTTATTTTGGGTATTAAGCTGCAATATTACATGACTGTATTGTCGGTGACTTTCATGGTCACTAGGCTGTAGTTGTTAATTGAATTTTGTATATGGCCGCAAATGCAAGTCTTTTTTCCAAATAGTGCATAATGACGTGCGACGAATACCCAGTTTTTGAGAACGATGTCCGGTAGACGTCTCAGGGCGCTCCACTATAGTTTCTCGATATTGTCCGGAGTACGACCCGACCTTGGGAGGTCTTTAACTTCATCTGTTTGTTTAAATTTCCGCATCAACTGACAAATAGTGTTGAAATGTGGTAGCTTCTGAATCGTTGCAACAATCGACTCATTATTTAAGTAAAACGATTTAACAATACGGACGCATTGTGGGATCGTGTAGCGATCCATGATGAATTGGACACATGTGCTTTAACACGTTTTAAACAACTACGAGTACTGAAATGCCTGTATCAAAAATGGCAATTTAAATCAGACAGGTATATATTGGCCACCCTGTAGAAACGTTGGTGGCACCGCTTACGACGCAACAATGTACGAGCATGAAAGTCCTTGTAGCATGTGACGTTGATTTTTGTTGATTTTCGGCCTTAAGCCAGACCTGTATTTTGAATAGCAGCCAATGATCTGCTTGAATTCACACCAAACACAAAGGTAATTAAAAGAAACTAGAGTTATTGCAACATGGTTGGCGGGATTACGTCACTGATGTTACAAAAATGATCTAGCGGTTTTGCTACCAAAATACATAACAGCTTACCGCCACTATCTCTTATATAATGTGTTTACATAGTTGTCGGAAGTTGTTTTCCGTTTCTTGTTAAACATGAGTACTGTAATCAACGCAATCCATTTCTAAACTTTCAAAAATGTGTGATGATGTACTGAAGACCTGTGACCGAAACATATACAATAAAAAGGAGTTTCAAACACACGTGGTTTGATTGATGAGTCAAACATGGGGGGTTATATGAAACTTATGAAAGTAAGTGTCCTTTTTTAAGAACAGATTTTTGATCTATACTTTGAAAAAGATCATCGAAGTGGCTCAAACGTCAGTAAAGAGTAATTTCAACTTATTTATGTGGTTTTACTTGGTCAAGAAAATAGATCTCCTTTGAACTCATGTTCAATAATTTTTTTTTCGCCTCTAATCCTAGCAAGCACCATTATTTATTGCTCTCCCTCGGTAAATAATGCAAAAAAACAACGTAAATTAATAAAGTTATTTGAAATTGTATTCTTCGAATTTCATTGTGTCAGTTTGACAACAGAACTTTATATTTAGAAACATTTTATATTGGTGGAGCAATAAATAATTTGAGAATAGCTTCTTCTACTTGAATGTACCATTAATCGGCAAAATGTTCGATAACGTATTATAGTGTTAACAAAAAAAAAAAACGTTTGTACCTTACTTCTTTTGGATGGATCTAGGGTAGCCATTTCCTAAAATATAAAACTTGAACTCGGGGCTGTACTTGACCATACATTTGGTGCTCAAAGCTGGACATTGTTCTCTTTAATGGCAAAAAAATAACTCTTATAAAGCTGACCACATGAACGGGTCCAACCTTTCAGTAGGTTATGGCCACTTAGTGACAGTGACATGTCCTTGTGATAAATGAAGATCGCTGGGAGGGATGGTATTGGCTAGTCGATCTTGATTCCCATGGCCCTTCCCTAGATCCCTATCCTGAGCGATGCATAGCCTGTGAGCTTTGGGTCAGTGGACCTGGGAATCCGATTGGATCTTAAAATTTGTTTATTCACCACCTTTTTTTGCTATCTCTGCTCTTCAAAAAGTTTTGGGGGTAGGTATATTTTCATAAAAGTTATGTCTATCTAAATTCTTGCGGGCGCCCATAAAAATATGTATATACATATTTGTTTTTAGAGAAAGACTGAAGAATGAAGTTAAAATCGGTCTACTGGTTTCAAAGTTATGTTGAATAATCGTTTTATGACTTAAAGGCCATTTTTAAAAATATAGTGGCCAAATGGCGACGATTTGGATTATTTAACCTTTTATCGGTGCTTAATAAAACTCCGCATTGGGGGTATACATGACCATAGTCATGTCCTAGACTATGTGAGGTCTATGAAAGAGTCGTAGGTCGTAGGAAATAAAAATACATCCAAAATGAAGTCTCACAATCATTCTGGAAAAATCTCCAACAAGCATGAGAAAGATTGAAGTCTCATCTCAAGTTCCTTTGTCCTTATACAACTTATCTGTGGTCGGTCTATACTAATATTTAATATACAAGGGTGTTAGGTAAGCATGCGACAAGAATTCAAGAGGTTATTCTTGTTCGGCCTATTATAAGAATATTTTGTTTCGAAGATACAGGGTGGAAAAAATTTGCGACAGTAACAACATTTTATTATCAAAAAGAACATGCCATATACAATAAATGACCGCCTCTTGGATACAAGCATTCAATCTTCTCGTCATTGAGTGCGGAACTCTTTGAAACACACCAGGGATGTCTCTAATTGAGTTACACCCAGCAATCATCCGATTTCGCAATTCGTCCAAATTCTCCACTGAAGTAGCGTAAACTAACTTCAGAAACCCCCCATAAGAAATAACTCAGGGGCTTTAAGTCTGGGGATCGAGCAGGCCATGCGTGCGACCCACCTCGACCAATCCAGCGATCTCCATATGTTCCTATTCAAAAATCACGAGCCACCAAACTGAAATCTGGTGGTGTACCATCGTGCATAAACCACATTGTAATTCTTGTCGCCAGTGGTACATCCTGCAGAAACTCGGGCAGTGTTTCTTCCAAAAAGTTACGATAAATCTCACCAGTCAAACTTGCTGGTAGAAATACCACTCCAATTAGATAGTCACCGACAATTCCTACCCAAACATTCAAGGAGAACTGATATTGAAATCGATCTGCACATATCTCATGCTAATTTTCATCTGCTCACACATGGTTGTTATGAAAATTCCGTATTGCATTTCTTGTGAAACTGGCTTCAATGGTGAAAAGACTACGTGTCAGGAATTGGGGGATTAGAACTAATCTTTGCAAAAGTAGCTTCGCCGTATGCAACAGGCAACATTTGGAATATGTCCGCACACTCCAAGTTGTTTTTTACACAAAACTTAATACAAATTGTTTGATCCATTTTTTGGAATAGACAAAAATCGCAGACAAGCTAAAATACGTCCACGCACAATAGCTGTCAAAAACTGACTGAACATTGAAAATGGCCGATATTGTCATCATTAATGAGGGCATGAGTACCATCATAAGGCCATAAAAAGGTTAAAAGTCTAACCTACGTAGCTCGTGAAAATTCGAAATTTGCGATACTTTTTGAACAAACCTTGTATTGATAAATAATTTGTCGCGTAGAAGTACTTAGATCTTCCTCTATCATGTGCAGCACATTCTCTTCCAGTTGTACCGTTCTTACTGTCATTAATCTTCCTGGCCTTCCATTTCGTTTCAACGTGCCTGTTTCACGAAGACGTCGATTAATGTTTTCGAAGATTTGTCGGTCGGGAATATTATGGCTAGGAAACCGTTCAATGTACAATCTAGCTTCCAATGAATTGCCATCAGCAAGTCCATACATGAAATCCATGTCAGTCATCTCGGTATTATCATACATTGTTAGAGGGCTTCACTAACTATTAAAGACATGCCAAACAGCCAACCGTCGCTCAATGTAAACAACTGCGGTGGTTATCACTTACGAGACGCATTTAAATGAAATCCACTTGGACGTTAGAAGACGAAACAGCCATCGCCCGGTATAGGGCACTGATAGCAGCTGTCCCGTAATTTCGATCCGGAAAATGTTTGAGACGAAAAGCGAGATAACTGAGGTATTTACTATGGGAACTGACCCAGGGGGGTCAGGAAATGGCGCTTCCACCAATCGAGAAGGAGTCGAACGAGCAGACTGTAGAGGAGTTGAGAGTCGAATTGGAGATGGTTCGATAGGAGCTGTCAAAAAAGAACGATCATAAGAAGACCACTGAAAGATTGATGATGATCATCGAAGCCCAGCAGCGGACAATTAACGACCTAACAGTTAAATTAGATCTCCTACTGAAAACCCAGGTACCTTCCCATCTAAATATTACACATTTTTCCCAAACACTCCAACAAAATCCCAGTAAAGACAAAGCTGTCAATCTTAAAAGACCGTTAAATAATTCAAGCGATCATTCCACTGACGACGAACGACCGTTTTATCAAGGTTAAGCCCCGTAAAATGCGACGAAACAAGACCGACATGACAGGCTTTCCACCTCTCCCTCCACCAAAATCGCAGTCTGAAACGACTCGTTCAACTGCAAGCGACTCAAATAAACAGCATGTGTTACTTCCTCGCCTTCGACATCTTAGGTATCAGAAGACACGACAGCACAGCCACCACCCAAGGTACGTAACGGTAGTCATACTGCCCAAGATAGAAAAATCTCAGCAGCTGTTCAACGAACATGAGCTGCATGGTTTGGCTATCCGAATCGAAGTTCAAAAGAACTCGAGACTCATCGGGCAGTGTCACCGCTGATATGGTCTTGCGCAATCTTACTGCACTGCATACCTAAGTGTCGAAAATGTGCTTCTGACCCACTTATGCTCTCAAACAGAACAAGAGGGACGTGCGCGGACTGTGGAGGGGGGCACCCAGCGAATAGCCGAACTTGCAGATTTGCCTCAAGGAAAAATCTGCAAGTGATAGCGCAAAGGCGTAATGTAAGTTACGCGGATGCAGCTAGGGATGCAACCCGGGCTGCTCCCTCTGTGGGATCTTCTGCGAACACGCAAAATGTGGACCTGGCACTAAGGTCCTTGCAGCAGATCATACATCTTCTGATTAGCGCAATACAGGAGATCTTTCCTGCAAATGGCTAGGTACAATAGACGACAGCCTGCATTTATCAAAATTGTTTTTTGGAATTCTTTGTGTCTAAGGGACATTCCCAAAAAAAAACGGGAAGTTCATCAAGCTCTTGTGGACGAAAGTATAGATGTGGCCTTGCTGCAAGAAACATTACTTAATCCGGGAGATCGTCTAGCTTTCCCGAATTACGATGTTATCCAAGCTGATAGATTGACTGGACAGGGTGGCGGCTTGGCAGTGCTGTTGAAACGCGGTATTGACTACCACAGAAGCACAAACGCTGAGATGCAGAGCATCGAAGCGACTTCCTTGGTGGTCAATATGATGGGAGGTGTGCCGTTAAAAAGCACATCGGTGTATGTCAGGTGTGGTATCAGGCTGCAAGAGGTGAATTTGGAAGTCTTTTTAGACTGCTCGGGTCCTCTTATTGTGTCAGGGGTCTTCAACTGCAAGCATCGAGCATGGCATTCTAGGTTGAACTCCAGCAGTGGGATCTGACTGTACAACAATGTGGTACGAAATGGCTACCTCATACATAGTACTGAGGAGCCGACGCACCACCCATTTAATCACCTGCAGGCACCTGATGTTCTTGATTTTGCAATATCCAAAAACTGTAGATACAGTATCACTTCTCGAATCAGATATCACATCTCAAGCGATCATCTTCCCGTCGTTTTGGAAGTGGGTAATGTGCAGATATTGAAACCCCTCCAAGGAAACGCATTGACTGGGTATAGATGCGGCTCAAGCGGTGTGGACAAGTTTTGTTCAGCAAGCTCTGCAGCGTGCAGCTGTACTTCCCGTGCAGCGACACGGCTGACCTTCTCTGCCAGCAGACATTCGTCAGAAAATTTCTAATAAAAGGGCTTCAATTAAGCAAGCGAAAAGGTCTTGTCATCCTGATTATATTCGCAGAGCGACGAATCTTGTTCATGGAGTAATAAATGCTCTTCATGAATTCCGCAATGAGCAATGGAACGACTTTCTGGTGGGGATGCTTGACTCAAGCATTCCTCTCTGGAAGGTGGCGAAGTCGCTCAAAAACGGAAAGCGTGAACAAATCCTACACATTCACGGCCCTGGAGGCATTGTCTTCAGGACAGAGCAAAAGGTTGAGGTTTTCGTCGATGCCATGGAAAGACAGTTCTCTCCCAATTATGATCTTGATAATGACCTCGACAAGGAGCAACACATCGTAAGAACTGTCAGGAGATATTTTAGGGCCAACGGCGTCAGAGACAGTCGCGCTACCGCGAGAAGCTTCTTCAACCGAAGATCTGTTTAGCACATCAGCGGAATCTCCCGAGATGCCGCCTTGCACACCAGCAGAGATTCAAGGTCATATTAAAGACCTTAAAATGCGTAAAGCACCTGGGGAGGATCAAATCACTAATAAGGCGCTGAGGCTGCTTTCGGGGAAGTCCTTAACTTATCTCGTGCCAATAATCAATGCCATGCTAAGGACCCAGTACTTCCCATCCGCGTGGAAGACCGCTGAAGTTATAATGATTACAAAGAAGGTGGGTTTCGGTCTGAACATAGTACGGAGCTACAGGCGGTTAGGCTGGTGGAACGAGTAACCAGAGGATTCACCCTTAACGGAAGTACTGGCATCTTGCTTTTGGATGTCTCAAGAGCATTTGACAAGGTGTGGCACGCCTCCTGTATAAACTAATCCAAAAGGGCTTCCCTTTTTGGCTTCTAAAACTACTGAAGTCCTTCCTTGAAGGTAGGAAATTTCGGATCAAAATTAACATTGTCCTATTGACAACACGGCTGCGAAACAAAGGGGTTTTTCAGAAATCATCATGGGACAAAATATTCTTATAATAGGCCGAGGAATAAGCCCTTGAATTTTTGCCGCATGTTTATTTGACACCCTGAAAGTACGCGAAAAATAGATTTTGCAGCAACAAAAGATTTACCTAGAACAACTTATACATCTAGATGAGCGACTTTTTCACGAATTCTTAAAAATATGATTCCGTTGTAAAGCTATCCGTTATTATTTGAAAATACTAATATCCTGGCTTCTGCTATCAGGCAATGCCCTTCACAGAGCATGACATGCGGCTCTGATTGAAAAAATATTTCTCTTCCAAATCTTATTTTGTCTAAGGTACTTACTCGTACAAACTTAGGGGCTTGTAGCAGCAATTCATATTTCATACTGATATAACTGTAAACTATTCAAGCAAAGCAACTAGTGAATGTAACCACTTTCTTAAAAGAAATTGTATCTAGATGTGCCGACAATACGTTACTTCACCAGCCTGACACGCTTCATCAGTCATGTAACCGCAAAAAAGAAATGAATCTAGTCAATTATTCAATTTCTACGGCAATTTTTTGGTAGATCGCTTTTCTATCAATTTAAGCTTTAACGCCAGTTGATCCAAGCATTTGGTCTGTGATTGTCGTAGGGGCAGGATGCTTACCATGACAGCCCCATTTTGGGTTTTGGTTTTCTTCACTTGCCTCTTTAATAACGGTAATGATTTGAAAATTGGTTTTTGATTAGGAGCTAATGGATTTTGTGTTCTAGTTCGCTGTGATACGGGGTTTTGTGATAACTCGAGGGGTGAGGTAGACTGTAGTGAGCCAGCTATCAACAACTATGTTATCTCTAAGACTGACGGTAAGCATTTTTTCTATTTTTATTTCCTATGAAATTTGGCTAGGAAGTATTGTGCAAGCAAAATCCACTAATTTTCATCTGTCTTGCCTTTCTGTACGGTGATCCTTGGACCGCGTATAACTCGGATGTACTGCTCGGATACTGATGAAACTTTGACACAATATCATTACTGCTTCAAAGTTGAAAAAGCTTTCAAACTAGTTTCAGTGGCAGCACAATTATTATGAGCAAAGAACAATAAATTTCAGGTCGTTTCCAGAATTAAGTTTTGGCTGTTCAATACTCTTGACATTTCTTTTCCTCGATCTTTCTACACTTCTGATCACTTTCGAGTTAATAAACTTAGTTGGGCTCAAAAATTTTGGAACTGGATATATGAAATGTTGAATTACCCGGAATTTAAATATTCTTAACTACTTTTCATGCCTGGAGATGATGTGTGATCGTCAAAGCTTTCGTATCCCGGACAAAGAATATTTATCACTATTTTATGATAATAAGTAATATACGTCTTTATTACCAAAATTACAGCGGACTGGTTGAAAAAGATTAGCATTTGTTACTCTTACACTTAACCAATCAGTCCGCAACATTAGGTGGTACATTAGCAATACAGACATTTCTAAAATAGAAAAATCACAAATCGATGCTTATTAAAGAAAATATACAGAGGTTCAATTATAGTTATGAGAATATACATATAACATTCATGATCAAACGGTTGACGAAATTAATAAACGTTTAGTTTTTTCACGGAACACGCGAAGTGACATTTTCCATGTATATCCTTATTAAAGGAATTTTTTTCTCAGGCTTCGATGTTAATAATAGTTGATTCATGAAATTTAAGTAAAGATATCCCCCTAAATCTTTCATTTTCAATCACCTTAGCACCTGATATTTAGCCGAAACGTGGTCACATTTACGCAATCTGAATATAAACCGCACATAATTATTTTGAATTACCTGGAACAATATCTTTAGTAAAATAATCTAATTATGGAAAATAAACAGTTCTGAAGTACCTCAAGATAGATAATTAAAGTCTTACACATTTTTTTAAGTAATTTAAAATTTAGTAAGTAACGATAAGATACCAAAGTACGTAGTCGAGGCAGGTACCCTCTACATGCTCAATAAACCTCAATTTCGTATCAAAAATCAAACCAAGAATTTTAGCGGAATCCTTGAACATTTGATTGTTTATACAGGGTGTAATAATTTAATTAATGGATAAAAATACAGGATTCCTTAGCTCATTTTAGGAAGAAAAGCTAATATCAACATATATTATATGTCCTGAACCTGTTAACTTGTGAGCTACAGGGTGTTAAAATTCTAAGAAAAAATTCGTTTTAATACTGTTCTAGATATTTTCATGAAATTTGACACGCACCTACTTAGCATCAATAGGCAGTTTTGATGAAGAATATATTTTAATATTTCTACCAGTGGCGTCCGAAGAGATTTATACTGGAGATTTTTCAAAAAAATATGGCTTTTTACGAAACAATGAATTCTCATCTATTTTCAAAACTTGTTGCAAATTTGTTTGTTTAGTCTGCATGCATTGCTAAATCGCTAAAATCTTATGTGGTAGTTTGTAGGTAAGATGTGTTTTTGTTTTTTTATTCAATTGATTAAAATAGCCAAAATGGTTTTTATTTTTTACGCGAAAACGGTGCATCGGACGGAAAAAAGTCAAGAGGTCAAATATAGGGTGATTCAAATTGGGTTTCCACATTTAAAGTATTTAAAAAAGAGAAGAAATTGAGAATTATAAAAAAGTATGTATTTGTCCTTTCAGGGCAGTTCATTACAATAATTATGCTTGAAAGATGATATTAAGTAAATTACCGCCACGGCTCATGTGGAATGACGTAATCCGTTTCGAGAAATTTTCGACTACTCCGTGGCACAAATCACTCCTATGTTGGTAATTTCGCGTCTGATCTCCTGTTTCAGCGCCACAATTGTGTTGAGGTTATTCTTGTAGACTTTGCTCTTGAAATACCCCAAAGAAAATAATCTAAGGGAGTTAAATCACAGGATCGCGGCTACCACTTGATATCGCCGTTACGTGAAATAACGCGACATGGAAACTTGCCGCGCAGTAATTGAATCGTTTCTCCTGATGTGTGACCTAGGCTTCAATTCCTGTGTTATTTGGGCTCTGTATGGGTGTAACTTCAAATCTTTTGTTAAAATCAGCTGTATAGTGGAATAAGTATGGTCCAGTTGCTACGATCGATGACGAATCGAGGTTCTTGGATTTTCGGCCACACTTTCGACAACAATAGCAACATTATGTTCCGACCGACCTCTACGAGCACGCCTAGGGGTTTTGGTATTAGCAACGGATCCAGTTTGCTCGAATTTTTGCACTAAATTCCAAACTGTCCTCTTACAAGGCCGATTTTGTGCGCCAAAAAATTCACGTAAAGCACGAAACGTATTCTTCCTTGATCGGCCGTTTTCATTATAGGCTTGGATAATTTTAACACGTTGGTCGGTCGCATATTGCTTCATGACTGTTTTGTTTATATTTTGACGTTAGAAATGGCACGTTGTCGTTGACAAATTCAGTGGCGTTTCAAGAATAAATTTATTTGTAATGTGGAAACTCAATTTGAATCACCCATTATATTGCAAAATCAATGAGGATTTCAAAAATGTTTTTAGATTATTGTTTTTAAAAAGCTATGGTGAACCACATTTTTTTGAAAAATCTCCAGAATACGGACGCCATTGGTATAAATACGCATTAAAAAACATTTTATATTAAAAAATGACTATTGATGCTTAGTAGGTGGATGTCAAATATTATCAAAATATCTATAGCAGTATTTAACAGTATAATGATTAAAAATCGATTTTTTTCTTAAAATTTTTACACCCTGTAGCTCAAAAGTTAAGAGGCCTAAGACATATGTCCATATAAAATTTTCTTCGAAAATGAGCTAAGGAAGCATATCCTGTATTTTCAACCACCATAAATTATTGAGTCAGCACAATGCTCTTTTGTCCTTAACAAAACAAAAGGATCGTGGTTTTACTTAGATTAACCTTTAGATTATGATTCTTAGATTCTTAGCAAAATTTATCAAGTCGTTGACACCATGTTGCAAAATTTCTCTGGTACAGGACGTTTCCATAGGATTGAAACAATCGGGCGTCTGCATAAGACTGTATATGAAAATTTTTGGGAATTTGGTTCAAGTCAAAGGTATACACTAAAAATAATGATGGTCACAGTATACATATAGAACCTGATGGTATTTACGGATAATGTATCAAGACCTATATAACTAAGCTTTTGCAATAACAATTCATGGGCAATACTGCCAAAGGCCTTTGAGTAGTCTATGGATATAAGAGTAACTGCTATTTTTTTTATCCAAGGCTCATAAAATATTATCCTGCATATTAAGGAGAGCAGAAGTTGTTCCATAGATTATCCTGAAAGCAGACTGTGTACCTGGAAGAATGCCATACGTATCAAGAAATGAATAGAATTGCAATTTTACAATTCTTTCCAATATTTTTGAAATTATAGATAATCGACTAATTGGTCTGAGATCATTTATCCATGATGGTTGACCTTTGTTAGGTACCGGTGCAACCAGTGCTTCTCCAAGCTGCTGGAAAAAACAGCCTCTTTTCAAGAACCCATTAACAGTGTGAACAATGTGATGAAGAATCACTAGTATTCAAATTTTCAGCATTGTTAATGCCTTTTTCATCTGATTTTAAACTTCGTATTGCTTCTAACACATCTTCCGACTCAACGATGTTAGGGAACATAATGTAAAGGATTTAACTTATTTGTGGGGTAGTACTCAAATACTTGCGGTTCATCATCTTCATCATATTTTTTATGAGTTCACGTCATTTTTCAACACCTTACAACCTGCCTGATTGCGCAAAACCCATAACTAACAAAGTAATCAAAATAAACTGAAATGAAATGAAACAAAAATAACCAAATTGATGTACGATGCATCAAAGCCTCAAATTTCTCATAAGCTACCTTTATTCCCGCGTTCTGACTAAAGCCGGATGGATCTGACAACCGTGCGCGGTTGTATGGTCCGTCGCGCCGGATAATGGCCTCTACACAGTGTTGCCGCTATCACTGCATTGACAGTGGTAAAGCAAAGCACATTATAGTCCAGTCGACATTGACGTATTCCCTACTAGGTATGCTCACTTTGCAATTAAACTAGGCCAATGCTACACGAATATGGCAAAAACCAGTACTGATTAGGTAGCTTGTTTGAGTCCCCTATTCAGCTAGAATCGTACGTGAAAAAATGCATGATGATCGGTGCCAAAAAATCATGAAATCAACCGCTGGAAAGCACATTGGATGACAGAGGCATGAATGGGAGTCAAGGTTCATATAGATATTACGAGGAAGCGAACTAGTAAAAACCAATATGACGCACTCTGTGAATACGTTTTATGGGAGTCCCAGGGTAGACAAAATTCATGTTCCTAATACCTTGGTGCTCAAGTACGCACCTTCCTTCACTGCTCAAATATCACCAGCGGGGACCCTGTAAAAAAATGTTCTTCGAGCCCCAGAGATTCTGATTTCAATACAAGTCAAGCCACGGGATGACGTATAAGGATGCTTAACTGGAGTTAGCTGACGAAAGCTTCCTGCTAGAACGTTTGGCGGCTTCGAAGCTGGGAGATTTTGCGCTGTACCATGGAAATCGTAAACTATCAAATTTGCATTTTAACTCAGCCCCGACAGTTTCTGTATTTAGTCCAAAATGTATAAGTGAGCTTCGGAGCTTCCATACCAAATAATTGTCCTTAAATAATCTTTCGACTTAGTGCTTTCTGCCTCTGCTTTATAGTTTTTGTCGGCTAGTCTATATGCTTCACTTCCACTAGCCTGCCTCTTTTTGAAGCGCTCCGGCACCAGTGCTTCAAGAAACAGATGTGCTTCTAGAAAAACCAAACAATGAGAGAATGCAAAGCTCGGAGCTTTGACAGTATTGCATTGATGATGCTTTGGAATGAGACGAATATGTTTTAAACTTACTTTATATTGACTTTATTGAGTCATTTTCGTTATTTTGTGTCATATAAGTAGATTTTAAATAAGTGAAAAATGTGTTCCTTGTTCTTCTTAGTGATTTTAAGTGCCATTTTAGCCTGTGATTGTTTGACTAAGGATGGTAAGTGAGGTTATGTAGTGATTTGTTTGTTTAGTTTTCGATACCGGGCTATTTCGAAATGTGGAATAACAAAGATCGCATGTTAACTCATGAAATTCGAGACTCTGGTGTAATAACCAAAAATAGCTGCTGAGATTTAACCGGAAGCTTTGTTGATTCCTCAGCATCTTATTGCTGGCTTTATATGGTTTTGCAAAATATTACGTTTAAACATTTTATGGAAAAAAAAGGAATCGGGTTCTGTCAGAAGCATGACTGTGTTGTATTTGGTCATGACTGATTTTGACTGCTTAACCTTTTTAGTTAAGGGACAGGTTTTGAAGCCGTTTTACATATAAGAAACCACCACAGTTCTATTTAGGTGTCTTTCCCGCCCAGATGCGAGAGTCTGCTATGAATCCCTCCGAGGTTCAGCTTTTAGCATTTCGTCATGGTGGGTAGCGTCATGGAGCAGCAAAAGGACTAGACTCTGACAATTAATTTAGAAGGGTAAGGTAAAACAAGAGCAGTGTCTAAGGAGGATTTCCAACTTTCTCAATAAACTCAGGATTCGAAATTCTCCAAGGAAGAAGAAAATTTTAGGATTTCATCTTACCCATCCAGGAAAAACTTCAAGATTTAACAATTTTTTGAATGATTTCCCGAAAAAGTCAGTGGCGTGCAAAACATGTTCCAGTTTTACTTTCCACGCCAATTAGAGGAAAGGAAAATTTCCAAAACGAGAAATTATGTCTTTTGGATGCCACGCCATACGAAAAACCGTGCGAAAAATCATATTTATTACCGCTTAGATTTTGATAAAATTTTCACTCGAAGTTACTATTTTGAAATTCGATTTGAAAAAATTCGAAAACTGATGAATGAATGAATAAATACCTACTTTATTCCTTTTGAGATAAATATAATCTTACATTTATGACGAATGATCTCAAAGCTAGTGCCCTGCACGTGAAATTAGACAGTCGTTTTATACTGTCTGGTGTAAATCAACCCTGGCGGAGAAAGAATCGGTCTCAACAACACACCTCAGTTTAACTGATTTTATTTGATGATACAAGTAAATAAATGTGCATTGAGGTTTTATACATTTGAATATTGCGGATCGTAAGTCCTGAAGGATTTATAGTAGGTATGCATACTTCTATTGAATAAGAATTTAAGCAAGAAATTACCTATTGGTCAGTCTTAGAAGAGCCACTACGCGCATTACAGGGATGGGAATCTTGAACATGTTTGTATGTTATTTGCTCAGATGGTTCCACGATACTGTCAAGTGTTTAAAAAATGTAGGAAATGTAGATGTTGTGATTGCAAGTTTGTCTCGTTGAAATATGAGAATTTTATACTTTTCTATAGTCTTGCTCTTATTCCGAATTTGCGAATTGTTAGGATATAATCTATTTTCAAATCAGGAAATTATCTTACTTCAATACCATTATCAATACCGCGATATTTTCTGGAATTTACTATTACATAGAATATTAAATGCTGAGTAATGAATCGATGTACAATTTTTTCTAGCCAGACTATACAACAAAATGCATAGCATACCTTTTAATTTAATTATTACGATTATTTGCTGGTAATAAAAATTATTCTGTATCCGATTTTTCGGATGAAAGCATTCATTCATAAGAGCGAATATAGTTTTCCGGCAATTCGAGTTATTTTTCCAAATAATTATTCTAAAGTGACACCTGATACTTATGCTGATACATACACATACACGTACAAATCGTTATCATTCTTTTCATACATACTTTGAGAGATGGCCAAAGTCAGTAAAAATTCAACCCAACATTATGTGGTTTCATGTGGCGGCAAGCAAGAAATGTAGATATCTAAAATAATTATTTTTGTTACAATTAAATTGCTTCCTTAGTCGTTCATTTTATCACATATTAACCTAGATACACTTATAGGAATTCAGCGTTTCGAATATTCTCTACAAATAATATCTTCCTTCGTCGAGGTTAATGCTCTTATCTCAAGAGGAAACCGAACATTTCAGTATCACTCTTCCGATTTAAGTTTGCACAGATAGTTGGCTCACTAGCTGAAATTTTAAGCAGTGGTCTCAGTTTTTCGAGAAGTCAAACCTTTTTACTTCCAGCGCCATTGGCGAAGTATTGGAATCGAGTAAAGTTCGAAATTTAGATATATTTTTGGGATGTTATACATTACGAAACACCATGTCATCGATTTACGTCGGTCTGTCAGTCTGTCTGTCGGTCGTCCGTTAATCCGTGGCCCGTCTATAACTGGGCAAGGACTGCTCGGATTTCGATGAAAATTTTACACATGTCAAGGACAAAAAATGTTTGTAGTTTTTAAAAGTCGGTCCAGTGGCGGAGGAGAAAAGACCAAAAATGAAAAAATAAAAATGGCTCAGTTTTTTTTGACGTGTCAGACGATGTTGATCAGTTTTGAAAAATGTTTTTGTAATAAAAAATTGGGAGGTGGGAGGGTGGGGAAGATGTATCGCAATTTTATCACAGCAGTATATTTAAGAACTTCTACCCATCTGTAATGCATATTTCACACATACAGGTATGCTCCCTCATATATTTACCCTTAAGGCTTCAAATTATAAAAGTATTCTGTATGTAAAGTCCACTAGAAACTACTGGCTTTCAGGCGAATTTTTACCTCACCTGCTGAGAAGGGTTCAATGATGAGGGGCGATGTAACAATTGGGACTACCAGGACAATATAATTTATTGGATATAAATAATCAGATAGAGGGACAACACTAGGGTTAGGAGTCAAATAATTAGGGTTAGGTGTGAAATAGCAACAAAGGTTCACCAGTCTTCTGCGGATATGACGGTATATTGTGCCTCATCTATTTTTCGTACCTCTTCATAAAGTAAATAATACCAGGCCGTCTGAAAGTTATCGTCGGTTATTTAACCCTTTCGGTACGGTTGCCGGATATATCCGACAGGAAGCAATATGGCCCTGCGGCCTGGTGACGGATATATCCGTTCAAGGTTATTTTGTATAATGACACTTGTGCCGTTTATTTCCGACTCTTTTGAAAACTTACATTCACCGAGAGACTGCCGACGACTTTATCCGACGTATAACGCATTGTGGATGGCCTGCTGTCGGAATAACCCGTCAATGTCGGAAATATCCGACGGCAGTCGAGCATGGTAGCATGCCATGTACCGTAAGCTTCAGAAGCGTCAGTTCGTTCGATCATGTCAAACGAGGAGGCCAGTTCGTCTCAGGGCACTAAGCGGCCGAAAAGGCGTAAAGTAGATTGTAGCGGATATTGTGGTTTAACTGAGGAGGAAGTCAATAGTATTTTAAGTCTGGTAGATGAAGATATTTACTTGTCTGACGTTAGTGAAGAAGACCCCTTTCTCGATAGCGGAAGCGAATATTTTCCATCTTCTGAGGACTCTGAGAGCGATCTGGATGAATTGGAACCGGAAAATGAACAAGAAAATCAGCAGGAAGAGGTAGGAAACGTTGAAGATAATATTACTCACCAAACATTTCTGGAAATAATTTGGACAAAAAATGAGTTTCTACCGAAAATACACGAATTTGACACGACCAATAGCGGTGTAAAAGACCAAAACCTCGACGAAAACTCAAAGGAAGTCGACTATTTTCTTAGTTTGTTCACAGAAAACATAGTGGATGTTATTTTGGATGAAACAAATAATTATGCACGCCAACAAAATGCAAAAAACTGGAAGCATTTAGAACGTTCCGAATTTTACGTTTTTCTGGATTTGACGTTGCTTATGCCTCGCAATAAAAAAGTGAACTTGAAGGAATATTGGTCCCAAAACCACTTACTGCTTTCACCTGCATTTAGCAAACATATGTCAAGGGACAGGTATTTTCAATTACAAAGATATTTGCATTTCTCCAATAATGAAATCGCTCTACCTGGTAATAGATTGTTCAAAGTTGAGAACGTGCTAAATATATTGAAAGAAAATTTCCAGTCTCAATTCTATCCATTTCAAAATTTGGTTATAGATGAGAGTATGATTCTTTTTAAAGGAAGACTCAGTTTTAAACAGTATATCAAGACCAAGAAACATCGTTTTGGAATTAAACTCTACGTGTTGTGTGATTGCGAAACAGGAATTGTCTTAGACTTTATAATATATTGTGGAAAAGACACTAATATAAAAGCAGAAGACAAGAATAATCTTGGTACTATAGGGACCGTTGTTGCAAAACTTTTAGAGCTATACCTCAACAAGGGACATTCTCTTTATACGGATAATTTTTACACCAGCCCTACACTTTCAACTTTTTTGTTACAACATAAAACAAACTCCTGTGGAACTGTAAGGCAAAAGAGGAAACATATGCCAGTAGGTATTTGATAAAAAATTAAAACAAGGAGATACTGACTGGAGAAGTAGTAAAAATTTATTGGCAATAAAATGGAAAGATCGGCGGGATGTTGTGATGCTGACCAGTATGCATGAAAATAGAATGGTTACTTTGCCGAAAATAAATCGATCTACATATGAAAATGTAATAAAGCCGTTATGTGTTCTGGAATACAACCGTCAAATGGGGGCTGTCGACATATCAGATATGATGCTGAGTAGCGTAGATTGCACTCGAAAATGTCTGAAATGGTATAAGAAGTTATTTCTCCATTCGATTAACATAACATTGCTAAACGCACATGCAATGTTTTCCACAAGACATACTAAGAAGACTTCATTCGCCAATTTTCATCTAGCGGTTATTGCTCAACTTATAGAAAGGTAAAGATTTCTTTGTAGTTTTCGATCCTATTTGCTAAATGCTTTTTTTTGCAGGTATGGCATAGTAAAATCTATACATTGCGATTTGGGCAATGCCAGGCTTCAGAATAGACACTTTCCGGTGTCAGTTCCACGAAAACCAGGCAGTACTAAGGTTGGATCCAGAAGATGTTGGGTTTGTTCCCATACAAAGCAGAAGCAAGCAAAAAGAAAAGAGTCCAGCTATATGTGCCCAGAATGTGACGTTGG